GCCCGCGGGCAAGTTGCGGGCGCCGGCGCTGGCGGCCAGGGCGCGCCTCGCCCTCGCCCGCGGCCCACGCGCGTGCCGGCCGCCCCGGGCGCACCCGGACCTGCGGCCGCCGGCGCCTCCCTCCTTTCTGTTTGCAAAGTTGCACCGGGACCCTCGGCCTCTAGGCTGGAGGACGCCGCGGCCCCGGGCCCGTGGGCCCGACGGCCCGAGCTTTTGTCTGGGCGCCGCGCGCCCGCCGCCTGCCGTGGGCAGACGGAGACAGGAAGGGGTGCGAGCCTCGGGCCGGCGCGGGGAATCCGGAACCCGGCGAGTGCGCTCCGCCGCGGCGGGGCGGGAGGAAGCCGTGACCCCAGATGGCAGTATTTGGCCTCAGTTGGATTTAGAAGGGAAAGCAACCTCTCTTGGGACCTGGGGGGAGAAATCTGTATAAAACAAAGCCCTGGGTGTGTTTACGGCGTGAATTTACTCCGGGAAGATTCGTGTTTAGGAAGCGGGGGAAGAAAGTTGAGGATTTACGGAGTATAATCTGCACAATATTTGCAGCAGGACACAGGCTAGGTTGACTTGTCCGAGGAATTAAGCATGGAGTGGGTTGAGTTATCATGTGGGCATGGGACCAGATGAATAAGATGCTTATTTATAATCCTGGGTGCGTTTTCTCAGTGGAATAAAGATGTTTTGGAATGTTCAGGCCGAGATGTAGGAACGTTTGCCTCTTCCGTTAGGGGTGATTGAGGAAGCAATGTATATGCTGCAGGTAAGTTGTATCACCCATATCATTAGGTGGTTTTATCTAACGAGTTAAATTTTATTGTTACATTTTATTTTTATTCTAAGTTTTGCTGGATATTTTTCAGGCACATGCACCTTATGGTGTTCCTGAATCTTGCTGGTCTTACCGATTGGATTAACCCAGAGACAACCCAAGTGGTTTTGTCTTGGAACTTTTATCAAGTCAGTAGCACAGCGTGGGAATGGTTCTCAGTTCTTGTTTCTTGGTTCACGCCAAATCTTGGTTTGAAAATTTTTCAGTTCAGTTTGGATCTACCTAATCCCTGCCAACAGTTTAGCCTTTCTGCATCTGCTCATTCATAAGAAGACACTTGTATTCAGCATTGACTCTGCTTTGGTGTTTCAGGATTGAGGTTCCTGTTACCTGCTTTGTTTTGGTTTTTTAATTTGGCCACACCCTGTGGCCTGTGGTAGATACAATCTTTGACAGTGTATGAGACAAGACTTCCTATGTCTCTGGGCTAAAAAACACGTTTTCAGGTCTGCCACTCCTGAGAGAGACTTCCATCAAGAGGGCCTGTACTCCCAGTAGCCAGATTACTTTCCTCCTCCACACATCAGTCAGCCCTGTGTGGCTCTTCTGGAGCCATCAGCAGAGTTCTCAACGTTCACTTTAAGATGATTTGTTCCACTCAGGTGTATTGAGGTGACCCCTAAGCCAGGTCAATGGGCAGCAGGTTTTCCCCATACTCCCAGCAGAGAGCATGGTTGTCTGCCAAGGACCTTGCAGTTGCGGAAGCTCCAGGCTGTGGCTCAGGGCTCCTTGCTTCACCTTCCTCGCTAGTTTTCCCAGCCTTGGGATTTCTTGGGCCCAAGAACAGTGGCTTCCTCTAAGGATCTCAAAAGCATTTGTGTCTTCCACAGGAGAGTGAGTCTCTGGACTCTAGACCCCACTCTTCTGTAGAGTGTCCTTCGAGGAAGGGTGGAAGTCCTGGAGTATGGGCATGCAGGTATTATCACCACCTCCTGTGGTGGTGTGTGTGAAGAGACCAGGGGAGGCCCTGTTGGGAAGTTACTGTTGCCCAGTTACCCTCAGCAGCTGTGCCTAGCCCCTCACTACCACCCCTCATCATCAGGATTTTGCCTGTTCCATCTTGAAATTCTGTGCATGTCTCTTGTCCCCACCTGGGTGGCATCAGGCTTCCTTAGGCCTGTCTGCCCCACTCCTTCCCATAGCAGCCTACTTTTCCCCTGCTCCCAGTGTGCGACAGGAGCGAGGAGGTGATGGTGGATGGGAGGACACGCCTTGCATGCCCTTTGCCAGTGGTCACTCTTGGCTGGGCCTTCTCCCATGGACTACATTTGCTTCTCCAGTGCAGAATGTGTCAGAAAATTCTTTAGCTGTTTTCAGTTTGAGGAGATACCCCTTAAAGAAAGGCTGTTAATGAGAATTCTTGTTCCATCTTGTTGTTTTGTTTTGTTTTGTTTTTAACCCTTGAAGTGAAAAAAGCTTTGTTCCTTATTTTAAACTAAAAGTGATTGTTGGGGCACCTGGGTGGCTCAGTTGGTTAAGCTTCCGACTCTTGATACCAGCTAAGCCCTGTGTTGCACTCCATGCTAGGTGTGGAGCTTTCTTTAAAAAAAAAAAAAAAAAAAAGTGATTGTTTTCTTTTTTAAAAAAATAAAAATAACAAAATTATGAGGAGGAAAATCTCTCAGAAGTTTATGCAGCCATAACTAATGTGTTACTCATTATAGCTTCTTAGTGAAATTTTAAGACCAGGATCCCTGAACCTTCCTGAAATTTTATGCAGAGGTTTGTGACTTTGTGTGCATTTTTCTAGGAAAAGATCCTTAGCTTTCCTCAAATTCTCCAGAGGTCCTCTCATCCCCTGGGTTTCTGGTAGCTCTTGTGTTTTTATTCTCTTGCTCCTTACCCTTATTATATAAACAAACCAGAGCCCTCCCTGGAGTCTATAGGTTTGTGTTAAGGGACCCCACAATGCTGCTAAAATCCAGCTTTTCCTGGAATGTCCATTATACACGAAGATTGGGAACAGACATATGTTGAGATGAATCTGTGTTATGCAGAAGAGTACAACATTAGCATGACAAAGGAATTCCATACTGTTTGGGGGGCTGTGGCTAGCCTTGTGGAGCTAAGTGTCAGTATACTGCTGTTGGGAAGAGCTTGCTGGGAAACACAGAACTGTCTTAATTGTAAAAACGCACAGCCATGTTTCACTGTTTTTCTCACTGACTCCTCTTGACAGTCATCCCTTGAAACTTTTCCCTGGTCCAGTGATGACACGACCGCCTTTCTGGCCATTCCTCCACAGGTTGGTCTTTCACACTGGCCCTTGAACGTTTGTAGTCTTGAATGCAGTGTCCAGGACCCTCTTTTCCCTCGGCCTTTTCTCCCTGGACAACCTGTGGACTTAACTAGTTTAACAGTCTGTGATTGCTGACTCCAGTTGTGTATCGGCTCTGGTCCTTCCTGCCTGCTGACCACCTTCCTTGAATGTCCCGTTGGCCCCTCAGAGTCTGCGTGTCCATGATGGAGTCACTGATCTCTCCTCCCTTCCTAAGCCCCTTGTTCTCCTGTTGCTCAAGCCAGAAACCTCAGAGCTTTTCAGGACTCTTCCTGCCTGTGTATTCCATGTTTAGGCAGCCTCATGGGTTTGCTTCTAAAACATCTCCTGAATCGTCCCCTCTTAGTCAACCCATGTGTGGCTTCTGTTCATGCCTTCATCATCTTCGGCCTGGGCTACTGTAGTATCCTCATCTCTTCTCCCTGCCTTTCATTTTGCTTACCACCCAAAAAAATATTCATGCGCTTGCCACAATGTGATGGTGTTGCTCCTGAATGTAAAGTCCTTTAGCTGCTCTTATAGGGGACACCATTTCTCTGTGTCCTATGAGATCCTGCAGGATTAGGCTCCTGCCATCTCAAGGCTGTTCTCCAGTAGCCATATCAGGCTACTGGATGTGCCGTGTAGTTTCACATCTCTATCTTGTTACTCTTCCTTCTCTGCCTAGAATATCTACTCTCTACCCCATCTCTATCCCAGTGCAGAGGCCTGTTCTCCCTTAGTC